CAAGCGATCCCAGGACGTGCCATCCAAGTGGCTCCGGCTTGGTATTGTTCTTCAATCTCAAACTTTTAACCCATGCTATATAAATTAATTTTAAGCATATATATATATATATATATATATATATATATGTGTGTGTGTGTGTGTGTGTGTGTGTGTGTGTGTGTGTGTGTGTGTGTGTGTGTGTGTGTGTGTGTGTGTGTGTGTGTGTGTGTTGGAACCATCATTTTTTTGAGATTTGATGCAGGAACAACAATCCACCATTGTTAGGGCAACGTTTCGATGAAGCTTTGGATCCATAGTTGCGGTCACTTTTAGACCAAACTAACCTCACCACCATATTCGCAAGGTCCAAGTTAGTGGATCTGAGTGGTTTGATTTTGTTGTTTGAATCTTTTTATCAATAATCAATTTTGACATCTTTTTAATTAAATTTAATTAACATTTTTCTTTATTAAAATTAATTAAAAACAAGTAGGTTTTAATTATTTAATTAACATTAAATTATTTTCCATAAAATACAAAAAAAAAGTAGGCTTTTACTTTCTCGTGCTTTTCTTTTTGCACCTTTGTTTTTCTGCATTTATAATTATATGCTTGTATATATAACTGTTAGTAAATAGGCTTGTATGGCAAGATTTAAGATCAATCAGTAGATAACTCCTAACTAATCAAGATAATATAACTGAACTGAACACACTATGCACACATACACCTCTAGAGTAACCTCCCTTGTTACCTTCGGATAAAAAACATTCATGTCCCTAGAACATAGGGATACCATTAGCAAAGACCCTAGATTAAAAATCATCATAAAGATCATAGTCCCTCAATGACCTATCGATGATGCCTCCGGTAAATGATCTTTTCCCTAGATGTTGCCTACGAATACATGATGATAGTCCCTTCGAATTGCTAAAGGTATCCCTATACGTCTCCTTTATGATTGTACGATGACTCGCGCATGTCCCTCAAACATCCAATGATAGGGCTTCCTATTAACTAATGAAAGGATATCACTATCTAATGGAAAAGTAAAATAACACGAAATACTTTTGAGTAGGTAGATAGTTCTTAATCGCTTGCTCGCGAACATTTCAAAAATATTTTTCACACAAACACTTTTCTGAAATATTTTCAAAACAAACACTTTGTATGCGTTCTTAACTGATACGAGAATCATTACAAAGTTTCTGAACTTAGGCATTTTCAAAATATTTTCAAACTTACACATTCACAAAGCATTTTCAAAAGTGAGCTAGCGATTAAGAGCCCGTAGATAACTATGGGTGAAAAAGGTGCTAACACCTTCCCTTTTTATAACCTACCCCCCCCCCCCCCCCCCCCCCCGAACTCAGAAAATTCTCGAAGGTTTTTCTTGTTCTTTTCACCCTTTCCTTTATTGGATAAAATAAATTTGGTGGCGACTCTTGCTATCTGCAACATTTGTGATCAAATGCAAAACCAAAAAGTCAATTCTCCCACCGTATTACACATGTGCCTCTAATGTGTGAACTGGAAGAGTTCATGATTGGTTTGGTGATTTGGATTTTCTGGTGATTTGGGTATTTCCCTTTAAGGGGGAGTAATGGACATGTCTGATTGAATAAGCTCTTGTGCTGTGTTGGAGCTTTAGTTATATGATGTTAGACCACATGTCTGGACATCTGACTTCTGGAGTTTGAAGAAGAGTTGAGTGTGATGCTGAGTCTCTCTGTAGCTGCAATGTATCTCTGGTATTTTTTTTTTGTTTTGACAATTTTTATAAAGTTTACATGTTTTTATGTAGCTTGTGTTATGTAATTATGGTTTTATTCCTCTCTCCGAAATTATTTTGCAAAGCTTTTTTTATCCAAAATTTTCCAAAGAGGGAGATTGTTAGATCTGTGATTTTATGATTGGCAACAATTTTGGTAAAACATGTTTCATGCTGAAAACATGTATCCTAGCCTGATGTTGAGCAAGATGTCATAACATCTTGACCAACTGGTACAACAAAGTCTACAGTAACTATTTTTTACAGATGTTCTGACATGTTATACCAGAACATCATAATAGTACAGCTGTTTAAATCCTTGAAGACTTGATTTTAAAATATGATATTCTAGATGATTCTAGTTCTCTACAGGCGCATCCAAGCAAGGATATTTTAGGAACATCGCATATTTGATTTGGTTTCATAAAAAGCATCTTGGAGACTTTTTAGGAAACTTTGAAGATTTGTTCCTATTTTTGGGGAAAAGATGTTGCAGTTGATATACTGTTGGAAGATTTGATTTGATTAAAGAGTTCAAACCCATACTGCAAAAGTCTATATAAAGGGACTTAATAAACCTAGAAACTAAAGAATTATCATTGAAAAAATCCATGAGTGGTTGAAATAAGTGTTTACGGTTTTGAGAGTACTTTAGGTGCTTTGTTTGTTTTTGTATGTATCTCATGTATCTTCTGATACATTGAGGTTGACTGATTGTTCATTGTTACTTTGCAATCACTCATGAGCTTTTAAGTAAATTGTTGATTGTGTATCAAATTATTGTTCTCACTCATGAGCTTTTAAGCAAAGAGTTGAGTATTGTTTATTGGAAGTGTAATCTTCTGTTTTGGTTCTTGTCACTGGTTTGTGAATGGTTTTATCACTGAGGTGATTGTGGGAAGTGAGAGGGGGTTCTTACATCTAGTAGGCTCCTAGGTAGAAATTGCATAGGATAGTGATTACGTGATAAGTTGTAAACTTGGATGTTTAGGCTTTGAGCTAATACTATTATTGTGGATTTCCTTCTTGACTTGATATCCCCCACAATAGGTGATGTTGCACTGAACTAAGTTAACAATTGATTATGTTTTTTACCTTCTACAATTAAATTCTGCATAATTTTTATTTTGGTAAAATTATCCTGTCAGCAGATGATGTCTTACATCTATCTTGACATTGTGTTTTGGTTTTGCGACATCAGTCTTAATATCTATGTTTTTAAAGTTCCAGAATATCAAAAAGTATATTTAAAAACATACAAATGCCTTTTTAATATAATATTAATGTATAGGTATTACATTGACTTCTACATCCAAGATCATCAAAGAGTAGTTTCAAAAATCATCTCCAGCTATCCTTTGTTTCACCTTCAACAACTGCAAAGGCTATTGGAACCATTTGATAATTTGGATCTCTTCCTATAGTTGCCAATATTTCTCCTCCACACAGGCCATTTAAAAAACATCCATCAAATCCAATGACAGACCTACATAGTTCGAAACTCTCTCTACATGTTGTATAACAAATGTATAATCTTTGGAAATAAGGCATCTTGTCAATTGCATTATCTATAATAGGTTTGACATTCACATTAACTATTGCACCAATATTTGTTCTAAGTGAAGTTGTATGTCTCCGATACATTAATAGGAGACATTTATATGGTCTTGGTGCTTGTCTCTTAAGCTTTACTTTTATTTTTGTATTATATTTGAGTTTCCTCTTCAATTACGCATTCAAGAATTAAGTTTTAAATCCATATTTTAGCATGCATTATTCAAACTATTTGTGTTTAAGTATGAACGTGATGCTTTAAGTCAATTAGTCGAGTTTTTGGAACAGGAACTATAATTGATATTGGTTTAATTCATGCCACAAGTAGAATATCAAAATATCTTTAAGAACTTCAAAAAGTGATATTTTGGATATGTGATTCGAATCACACAATCCCTTGAGTCGAATTAAATCAAAACAGAGAGAAAACATGAGTGTCTGTAAGTTAGTGAGTCAAATCACATATTGAAACGGATTCGAATCATGAAGTCATATGACTCAAATCACAACTTCTACATGAGCCAAATCATATATTTTATGTCATCCTCCATTTAGTTTGAGTAGAATCATGACTTAAACATGACTCTTATTACAACTTGCTTGACTCGAATCTTGATATATACTTGACTCGAATTACAACAAAATGGGTTTATCTTTAAGTGCATATCTTGTTTCACATTACTTTTCCACTTGACTCAAATCCCGTGTTCATGACTCGAATGAAACATGATTTTTACACAATATTTGTGCTTCATCTCCTTTTTACTCTCAAAACCTTACACAACGTTAGAAAACACATTTTCCATTGATTTAGAGGATTTTTCAAGATCCTTAAAATCCAATTCAAGAGTTACAAGGTCTCTTCATTCATTCACTCAAAATATCATTGAAGATCAAGTTCAAGTTTCTATCAAATTTATTCAAGTGGATTGTTCAAGTTACATGTTTCATCTAAGAATTCAATTCTAACTTCAACTCACGAGGACAATTTCAAGAAGCTAACACATATTTTCAAGTCATGTTACAAGAATAAATGTCAAGAGTTCTATGATCTAATTACAAAGTACATTCAATTTACAATGAAGTTCTCAAGCCTAATGCCAAGGTTCCCTGCTATGGATTTCTTAAAGTTCTAATTTCTTCCAAACCTATACCATCATGCCAAGCTTCAAGACCACATCTTCTAAACTCCAAATGATCTTGATTTATTCCTTCTCCAACCATATTGTTCTTCATGCTCTCAACATATCATCATATGACATGAAAAGAAAAGAAAGAATTGGTTAAATATACTTGTTATCAAGAGAGTTCATTCAAAGCCCGACAACAAAGGAAATTTATTCCAAAATATTGCTCAAACAACAAAGAAACAAGTTCAACAATAACAACAATTCCAAATATGTTCAAACACATTTTTTCAAAATCTCAAACGAGAGTTCATGAACAATCACACATTGCTAACAAAGAAACATCATGATTCTTGGACTAATGTTAAGGGATTTTTGGACTTGGGCCTTGGAGAGAAATTTTAAACTTTGTATGGACCCTTTCTCCTAAGTTCTATATAAAGCTTCATTTTCCACTGATTTAGAGGATTTTTCGGACTCTTTTCAACACCACAAATTCATAATCATAATACATTGTGAAAATAGAAGATTAAACTCGCATGAATCGTACCTCGCCGGAAATAGACTCACTTGACCGGAACCGCCTCTTTATCGCCAGAAACCGCCATCTGAGACCTTCTTCCTCCTCCTATATTCTCCACCCTTTCTACTCCAAAATTTTGATAATCCTTCCCTGACACTGAATCCTTCATCATTTTGCGATTGTTGTTGTTTTGAACAAAGTTTCTGAAACTTCGTTGTAGATCTATCCTCTTTAACTTCTTTTCTTGAAAAACTAATTGTGGATTCGAGTGGAGGAGGAGAAACCGATTCGATTGACATAATTTTTTTTGAAATTGACCCTTCACGTGGTGGCTCCGCCGTGGACTCATTGGATACCGCCGCGCAACATCGTCTTCTCCACCCTGTGCACTCCTCTGTCCGCCCTTGTTTATATTTTCTTTTCATAAGTTTTTTTGTTTGTTTTATAAATGAAGAGGGAAAGATGATGATGACATATAAGTCTTAAGAGAAGAGAGAGACTGGTTTTAACAACAACAAAAAAACTGAAGCTTTTTGTGTTGTTTTTTAAACGTGATAAAAAATTTGTCTTCCCTCTCGCTCTCTAGGGATACGTGTCAGCCGGTACAAGGAGGACTCCCTCCACCACTTGTCCTCTTCTAAGAAGATGATATGAGTTTTGATTCTCTGCACGTGTTTTTATTGTATTTACAGTATACTTGTATTCTGGATCATTGATCCTACATAAATCTGTCTGTTAACTTGATCCGAGGACTACAGATTTTTATTTTTTATTTTATTTTACTATTTTTATTTTAATTCGTTTTTATCTTTAAAAATTTATTTTAATTTCATTTTTCGTCCAAAAATTATGAAAAATTTTACTAAATTCAATTATCTCATTTCTGACTTAGTGTAATTTTTTGGAATTTAATTTCGTGTTTTGTTATTTTTAATCATTTTTACTTATTTGAGTGGTTTTAATTGATTTAAAAATATTTTTATTATTTTTTAAATTTTGGAAAAAATTATGGAAGGATCTAACGATAGTTTGACAACTATTGGTGATCTCTTTTGATTTTTTATTAATAATTTTTCTATTTTTTGAGATTTTTGGTTTATTTCACTTATTTTCAGAATTTTTAAAATTAGTTTCTTGATTCCAAAAATTATGAAAATTTTTGTCAATACTTCTTGACTTGTATTTGACCTCTGGTAATTTTTTGGAGTTTTTATTTAGTGTTTTGACATACTTTATGTATTTCATCAATTAATTTTAATTAATTAACCATTTTTTATTTGTTTTTTTAATTGTTTTAATTGCAATTTTATTTTTTGTATATATTTTGACTGATCTTGGATCATGTGGATTTTAGTCATAAGTTTCATTAACATCATTGGATCTTGGGTGTTGAGTTAAACTATACCAAAATGAATGAATGATTTTAATGATAGCTTGATTAATCTTTTGGTTCAAATGAGGGATTTATTTCTTGTCTATCTCTAGTTCATATCCTTCTTATTTCCTTTAAATAATCATTAGTGGCTCAGACCTATGTTTGAAGTTCCAAGTATGATTGTTATTGGACTTTGGTTCAATACATTTGAAGTTTGTTGTTAGAAGGCTTTGATTTTATTAATCCTCTAACAATTCTTCATCAACTTTGACCTAAGCTCAATCTTCAATCATCATTGTGTTAGAACAAAGTTTGAATCTACTACCCTAAGTTAAAGTTTTGATGATAACAAAATGCTAGATTAAATAAATTGTATAATTCATATGAGACATATATGCTACCTAAAAATTATATTGTGCATTTACAGAAACTCTGATGGATATCAGCATAAGAATGTCAACATCAGCATCAGAAGATGAATTATCATATGCCAGCATCAGAAGATGAAATATCATATGCCAGCATCAGAAGATCAAAGCATGTGCTTACGCTGAAGCTTGATGAACAGATCTACGCGTAACATACTCTAAACTCTGATCAAGACCAAAACAATATCATCAGCACCTAGAAGCGTCAGAATAAGCCAAAGCCAATGACACGCTTAATTGACAACGGTACTGTGCATTCAAGACACTTTATTACCAACGACTGTATTCCAAGACAAATATCTTCACAATATGGAAAGAACGTAATGGGCATTGAAATGGAATAATTGACTACAACGTATCTTTTCCAAGGCTATATAAATAAGTCAGTGAGAAATGAATTGGCTAATGCTCTACAACTCTTCACACGCATAAAGAAAATCATCTTCATCCTCACTCATACAGTTTGCTATATCTCTCAAATTGCTTCTCTATAGTTATAGCATTCTAGTTTCACATAAGCTTAAATTGTGTATTATCACAGTTGTGATATAAAGTTTTTATAGAAAACATTCAACACATAGTATTCATTTTTCTGTAAGAAAGAATTTCCTTGAGAAACCGGTTTGTGGTTTAGACTCAAGAAGTCTTTAGCAGTTGTAATATTCAGTTGAATATAGTGGATTAAGACCTCGTTGGAGAGAGGCGAAATCACCTTGACGGGTGGACTGGAGTAGTTTGAGATCAAACGAACCAGGATAAAAATAACGTGTTGTCTGCATTTGATTTCAAGTTTTACAATTCAACCCCCCTTCTTGTGTTTTTCACTTCTTTAATTGGCATCAGAGCGCCTGGTTCTGAGCTAAAACACTTAACCGTGTCAGTACAAGATTCAGCGTCAGAAAAACACAATGGCAGGAACATATCAACACACCAGCAATGACAACAATGAAGATAGAGACAGATTCAGCGGCAAACCTCTAGTCTTTGATGGAGAGAATTTTGATTACTGGAAAGACAGAATAGAAAGCTTCTTTCTGGCACATGATGCTGATCTGTGGGACAAGGTGACAGATGGATACACGCACCCAGTGAATGCAAGTGGTCAGAAGATTGACAGGAAGGCAATGTCTGATCAACAAAAGCGTGACTTCAAAAATCACCACAAGGCCAGAACTATTCTTCTCAGCGCCATCTCTTACGCTGAATATGAAAAGATATCTAACAGAGACACTGCAAAGAGTATGTTTGACTCTCTCAGAATGACGCATGAAGGCAACATTCAGGTCAAAGAAACTAAAGCTCTTGCGCTCATTCAGAAGTATGAGGCATTCAAAATGGAAGAAAGTGAATCCATTGAAACTATGTTCTCAAGATTTCAAATTCTGGTGGCTGGTCTCAAAGTTCTGGACAAAGGGTATTCTACTGCTGATCATGTCAAGAAGATCATCAGAAGCTTGCCAAAACAGTGGAGGCCAATGGTTACAGCGCTGAAGCTAGCTAAAGATCTCAACAAAATCTCTCTGGAGGAACTTATCAGCTCCCTCAGAAGTCACGAGATAGAGCTAGAAGCTGATGAACCTCAGAAGCAAGGTAAGCCTTTAGCTTTAAAGTCTAACAGAAAATCTGACTCCAAAATTTTGCAGGCTGTTGAAGAAACCTCTGATGGGTCCTCATCAGAAGAAGACGAACTTTCCCTCCTCTCCAGAAGAGTGAACCAACTATGGAAGCAGAGGGCAAAGAAATTTCAGGAATACCAGAAGATCAGATCAGAATGAGTCCTCCTCCAGATACAGAAGATCAGACTCCTCCTCTGGATTCAGAAGATCTGAAGGCTCCTCAGGAAGCAGAAAGCCAAACACCAAGGACATCATCTGCTATGAGTGCAACGAGCAAGGACACTACAAGAGTGACTGTCCAAAGCTTCAGAGGGAAAAGCCCAAAAAGAAGTTTGGAAGGGAAAAGAAGAAGAGTCTCATGGCTACATGGGATGACTCTGATTCGTCTGAAGTTGACTCAGAATCAGATGATGAGAGAGCAAACATAACTCTCATGGCTAACATATCAGAAGACAATGAAGCTTCTGAATCAGACACCGAAGAGGTATTCCCTGACTTTGCAATTAATTTTACTAAGGTTGAACTTGCTGAAAGCCTTAACGAAATTCTGGAAAGATATCAGCAGATCAGAGTTAAATTCAGAAACCTGAAAAGGAATCTTGATTCTGACTCTGATAAAACTGAGAGTCTTAAATTGGAAAATTCTGAGTTGAAAAATAAAATTTCAAAATTAGAAAATCTTTTACAAAACTCCCAGAAGGAAACAATTTCTGAAACTCCCAGCAGCGCTGATGAGATCATCAAGGAGTATGATCACAGCTTTCAGAAGTTCCTTGCTAAAAGCATAGATAGAAGCAAAATGGCTTCAATGATCTATGGAGTTAGCAGAAACGGCAGAAAGGGAATAGGATACCAAGGTAAGGTACCTACACCAAAGAATGCCATGGATCTAGTTATTAAATGCACTCCTCTGAATTCTCACTTTGTGTATGGTCACACACATGACATTAAATATACTAGTAATAATTATTCTGTGAAACCAAAATTCAACCAGAGTTTTGGTAAAGCTAACAAATCAGGACCCAAGAAAATATGGGTACCTAAGGATAAAATAATACATGTTGCAGATATCTTTAGCAGCAAATCAGAAACACCGGTCATGGTACCTGGACTCTGGCTGCTCACGACACATGACAGGAAGAAGTCATATGTTCCAAAGCCTGGAACTTAAGCCTGGAGGCCACGTAGGCTTTGGAGGCAATCAGAGGGGAAAGATCATTGGCTCTGGAACAGTAGGTAATGGAAATCTTCCCTCTATAAATAATGTTCTATTAGTAGATGGATTAATGCATAATCTGTTATCCATAAGTCAATTAAGTGATACCGGTTATGATATAATCTTTAATCAAAAATCATGTAAAGCTGTTAGTCAGAAAGATGGGACTATCCTATTTAATGGAAAGAGGAAAAACAACATTTATAAAATCAAACTTTCTGAACTGAAAAGTCAGAATGTAAAGTGTCTTCTGTCTGTTAACAACGAGCAATGGATCTGGAACAGAAGATTGGGGCATGTTAGTATGAGAAGAATATCTCAGATTAACAAACTCAATTTGGTCAGAGGACTTCCTAATCTGAAGTTCAATTCAGATGCTCTGTGTGAAGCATGTCAGAAAGGAAAGTTTGCAAAACCTGTTTTCAAATCTAAAAACGTTGTTTCCACCTCTAAGCCATTAGAACTTCTGCACATTGACTTATTTGGACCAGTTAAAACTGCTTCAGTCAGTGGCAAGAAGTACGGGTTAGTAATCGTAGATGACTATAGCAGATGGACATGGGTAAAGTTCTTAAGACACAAGGACGAGTCACACTCTGTGTTTGTCACCTTCTGTAACCAAGTTCAGAATGAAAAGGATCTTAGAATCGTTAAAGTCAGAAGTGATCATGGTGGAGAATTTGAAAATAAAGATTTTGAGTCATTCTTTAATGA